AAATGTATGATTTACAGCTTTAAACACTTAATACATTGTCACATTTCACCTCTAAAATAAGGGTTTTAAACTCTTCTCTGAAAGACTGTTTGCAGTCTCTCTCCTATATTGTCTTGGGTTTCATTTAATCATGTTCTTCTCAGTTCTCTCCTTGAGCGCTCTCAAGGGGTTTTTCTCTGCAAAAACACATCAAATCAGCTATCTAGGAAACGATTCAAAGGAGTCTTAAACTGGGATTGCTCCATGTAAGCGTTAGTGAGTCAGCTTTGCTGATTAGGGCAGGCCTTGCAAATCCAGACCTGTCCAAAAATGCCTCTCTACCTCCTCAACTTTTATGTTATAAATACAATTAAATCTTAAAGTCTGACAATGAAAGTCTTAAATATCCACACTGGCAATAAGTCAGTGCAGTTACAACTCAAGTTAATAATCCTGCTATTTCAAGTATTAAAAATTATGCTAGTTTGTCCAGTTAATTTAAGCCTCTGAAAAGGCGAGTCTGTGTAATCTCCAAACAGTTAATACTGTTTTTGTAAAAGCCCAACAAACTGTACCAAACTGGAACTACACAGGTGCAGCTGTCTATTTTCCCACCACTTCAAACGTACTCATTCACAAATAATTTCATGAGCTCATTCTGAGACTCAGACATGAAGTTGGACTGAACTTACCAACAATGTTATTTTGTCTTTTGTAAAAGACGGCACTACACAAAAATGTCTGTGTGGATGAGTAGGCTGGAAAAAAACACCATTAATGTTAACAGCTTTCATTTAATAACGTCTAACATTCTTACCAGTTATACTACATACAATACTTCTTTGTGTGTCAAAGAGCTTTTCAAAAAACAAACAAAACAAAGAACATATATGTTTAAAGCACTTCTGGTAGTAAACTGAGGTCCAACCGAGTAGTAGTAACCTATTCTTAATTAACTTTATGATTGCTGCCTTTTGCAGCACTGCAAATCTATCCTGTGTATCTTAATAGTGGTGATCATTTGGTAGCATTAGCATCTTTTGGAGAACATGTGGTGCAAGAAGATAATAAGAGTAATGTTGCATCGACATAAGGGTGGGGTGGGGTGTTCAATACCGTCCTACTCACGTTCTGAGGAATTGAAACTGAAGAGCTGAACAAAGCCTACTTAACCTGTCCTCCTCGCACATCGTGTACTTCTTTCTTACGTCTCACCATGAAACTTCTTGGAGCTCTGATCCTGGTTTTGAGTTTGTCTGCAGGTAAGAGCAACTTATGATTTATTCGTCTTGTTCTTTACCAGATAATCAGATAATCACTGGTCCTTTCAGCTCTTCTAATTTTAAACCAAGATTTTTTTTTCCATTAAAAGTTTGATTTAAAATACACTATAGTCATGTACAGCAAGCTATTATTAATGAAGTTTATGATTGCTGCCTTTTGCAGTAAAGGAAATCCATCTATGTGCATCTTAAAACTAGTGATCATTTGGTAGCATTAACTTTTTTGTAAACATATTGCACAATGTTGCATCGGCACAAAGTTTAAATTACCTCCTAAACAAGGCGGGGTGTTCAGTACCATCCTACTCACTTTCTGAGGAATTGAAATTGAAGAGCTGAAACATTAAAAGTTTGATTTAAAATACACTATAGTCATGTATAGATGCAAAACTATTTTAAAAATTGCCTTTATGAATCAAATTATGGAGCTCACTGTATTTTGTAATAGAAATGGCAGATCCTAAAGGCCTTTTCCCACAGCACCGAACACGCAGCGCTGCGCTTTGAAACACATTAATTTCAATTGCTTGCACTGCACAATAAGGTTCCATTTGCTTTTTATTGAAGAGCAGAGGCGGAGCCAGACATTTGAAACACCCGGGGCTTAGCCCTAAAGGGTAGTATGCATGTGGGATTTTTTTTTTTTTTTTTGGGGGGGGAGGAGTTAGACACATGATTGAAAGATTAATTGGCTCTGTTTTTGGAGTTTTGTTCAAAAGAAGAGTTGACTTCCATATAGGGAGTAAAAAATATATATATCAAATGTGCTTAGTGAACCGTGACCAAGTTCAAACTAGTTATTTTATAGTGTAGAGCGAGCACAGGTAAGTAACAAAGTAAACGGAGCTTGTAATCAAGACCGAGGACTAAAACCCACAATTCAACCAGACCAAGAACTGATTCCGGAATTAACAGGACTTAACAACAGTTTCAAAATTCAGGGCGCCTACCTGTAGGACTATAAAACCAAGACAGAATCCCAGTAATTCAGAACCGCACATTAGTAAGTGATAAGTAGCACTAAAAATCTCATTTAGACCTGACACCTACGACTTATTTAGTCATTTAAATTATCTACCAAAAGTCCCATCTATTTAAGATTGAAAGAAAGTTTGACTATAATTATTTAGCCCTTTGTTAGTGCAATTACTAAGCCTGCATAACTTAAAAATATAGAATTATGAAAAAATAGCAAACCATAAAAAGAGGGAACATTTCTAGGTACAGTCAGATAACATGAGGACCCCTTGATACGGTGATACTTTTGGTAAACAACCATTTTTGACTAACATTGTGTGTTCTCACCTGCTCTTGTTTCATCTCTGTTTCTGTCCTCATTCTCTTCTCTCCCTCTCTGTTCCTCTCTCTCCCCTCTCTTCCTCTCTCTCTCCGGGTTCTCTGTTCCTCTCTCTGCCTTCTCTGTTCCTTCTCTCCCTCTTTCTCTGTCTCTCTCTGTTCCTCTCTCGTTCCCTCTCTTACACCCTTCTTCTCCTCTCTTCCCTCTCTGTTCCTCTCTCATCTCCCTCCTCTGTTCCTCTCTCTCTCTCTGTTTCTCTCTCTTCTCCTCTCTGTGATCTTGACACCATTCTACATGTGTGCCCCTGCTCTTGCTCTCTCGCTGTCTCTGTTCCTCTCCTCTCGTCCTCTCTTTCCCTCTCTGTCTCTCTCCTCTCTCTCTCTGCTCTCGTCTCTCTCTCTCTTTCCTCTCTCTCTTCTCCCTCTCTCTCTCTTTGTGCCATGACACAACTCATCAAATCTACAGTTGAAACCAGCATATTTATGTACTCTTCAGATACAAAACACAAACACTTTTTTAATTGTAACATCAAATCAGACTAAATGTTTATTTTTTTAGATTGATAAATATAAAAAACATATTTGTTAACTTTAAGAGTAAAGAGAGAAACTATCTGTATTTCTTAATTGCAAATGGCACCAAATTGTATTCAAAATTGAGCCACACTTATGGAGCTCCACAGTTCTTTTCCTGGTGTTTTGGTTGACATCTCTTGATTTTCCCATGTCAAAGAAACAGACTCTGTGTTTTGCCTTATATGCATCCACAGCTGTGCCACCAATTTACTCACATGGACTCTACTAACCTATCAGAAGCTTCTTCAGCTCAGAATGGAATCGTCTGGAGTTTTCTTATTAATTAACAATAAACTTAGTGTATCATGTACTCCTAAATTTGATGAAAGTGATAAAAAATAGACAGCTCTGTCTCTCTTTATTCTGACATTTAACTAATTCAAAAGATATTTCAATATTTATTTATCCAAAACAAAACAAGTTTACTCTAAATTGATGTTGTACAGTAAAAAAATGTTCTTGTGTTTTCCATAAAGTGTATGTAAATATCTGGTTTCAACTGTGAATATACTGCTGTGTATTGAAGTTCCTCTTGTTTTGCATAGAAATATACTGAACAACATACAAAGCATAATATATAAAATACTCTACCAGAGTTTTTTCTTTGAAAGCCTTTAAGAAGCTATTTACCTGCATATACTCTATAGATCTGCAGGTTATTATTTTATCTAATCTGGTTCTTGTTGATTTGTTTCTTTATTAATAAAAGTCCTGGTCCTTTGCCTTTCTCTCTCTCTCTTTTTTTATTTCCTGTTGCATTCTCTGAGCTGTGGTACCACAAACTTTATAAGAAGCCTTTTCTCTGAATGAAAAGAAAGCTTTTCTTCATCTCATTAAGACATCTGCAGTCTAATGGATGATGCTTTGTATTTGGAGAATCTTCATCTATGAATGACAGCTGTCTTTGTTTCTCTGCAGCATGTGGATTAAAATGCTACGTATGTGCATTCTCTGACCCTCACTCCTGCACTGATGCCTTAACTTGTCCTGCTGGTATGGACCGATGTTTCAGCCTTACTACAAGCGGTAAGTTGTTCTGCAATGTATTAAGTGTTTAAAGCTGTAAATCATACATTTTATGAACATAGTATTAGTTAAACTGAGGTTTTCCCATCATGTCTTACAGGTACCGTCACTAAAAGCTGCATAAACAGTGTCCCATGTGTCAGTCCTATGAGCTGCTGTGAAGGGAACTTGTGCAACAGTGCTATCCCAACTGGTCCCAGTGCTATGCTCCTGCTGGTGTCTTCAGCCATAATCACCATCTTCCTCTGAAGCTCTGGAACAACTACATCTTAATCATGTTTTACTTTGTTCTTAACTAAAAATTACAACCCAGGAATATTAAGCCATTTTTAAAATAATGTATGGATAGTTCTTTTCAATAAAACCACAATAATGTATCAACTACTGAATTGTTTAATTCCTAGGATTCTGCAATTCACATCACTACAGCAGAAAGATTTTTTTGTGAGCTCTAACAGAAAGACAAACAGGACAGAAAAATAGACGTTATTGCGAGCAGATCAATCATTTATTTTTTTAGCTGTCTGATAAAGACTTATTTAATTACTTTTTACAGTTATTTCCACAAATGCAGAAATCACTTTTCCCACCCATTTGATGTGCTCACTCTGTGACTGAGATGACTCTTTCATAAGAGACACATCAGGCATATACAGTGTTTGCAACTGTGAAAAACAGGTCTTTAAACATGAATAACCTGAAAAAGTCAACATTCATGCAAAAGTCAGGTAGGTGAATTTCACCTAGTCTGATCGCAGGTAAATAAACATAAGTCATTCATGACAATACATACAGTACTTCTCTAGATGTCACACGAAAAACAAACATATACCATATGCATAAATAAAATTAAATATTTGTTCTTTGGCAGTCTACCTTCTAATTGTGCCAAGCACTCAATCACGGGAGGGGAGGGGGG